TGCTGTGACATCTCCCTTTGAAGGAAGAAGACACCGAAGCTCAGAGAGGTGTGTTTCAATGTTCCCGAGACTGCCAGACACAGAACTTGAGTCCTGACCCCAAACCTCTGCCCCTGCCTCTGCTTTCCACCAGCCCCACCCCCGGGGGCCAAGGGCGGCTGGAGGGGGGGTCCAGTCAGCCGGTCCCTGTGTGTGGGCGCCTGCACACCCATCCTGGTTGCTGGCACGGGCTCCCCTGCATCTACGGGAAGGGGGATACAGACATGAAGAACCCTCACCTCGGTCGATGTGGGATGAGCACACGGGGCCTGTCCGCGGTTGCAGCATTGTTTATTACAAAGAGAACCTAGAATTCTTTTTTTAAGGCCAAATTCTGGGCTCCAGGACTGTCTCTGGGGCTGCTTGGGGTCTCAGAGGAGAAAGCCAGCGTCTCTGAGCGCTCCCCATGCTCGCCCCACCCCCCAAGGATCCCTGGATCCATGTGGACTTGCTCTGGGGGCAGGTGGCTTGGCACCCATACGAGTGGTAGCCAAAGCAGGAACTTGGGGGGGTGGGGGGCAGCGAGCTTTGAGCCTCACAGGGTGCCAGGCCCCCCTCCCCTGGTGGCAGCCTTCCAGGAAGTTTAGCCCGGTGTGTGGAGGGTGATCAACCCCGGTGCCTTGCTTCAGCCTCTGGCTCAGAGGAAACCAGCCTCCCATCACATGGCTTCAGGCAAATGTGTCTTCCTCAGCCTCGGTCCAGGGGCCACACTCACCCTTGACCCCGGGCCCAAGGAGCCCCAACTCCTCTCTCCACTCTTTGAACTGCTGCTGCCTGCAGGCCCCCAGGGCCCCCCGGCTTTCCAGCATGGACACTTCTGTCCGGCAGCGGGTGCTTCCTGTGACCGGGAGAGGGTGGGTGGGCGCTGACACTGCCCGGCACATCAATAAGCGGACGAAGCTGCCCCAGACCCGCACGGCCTGCTCCTGCCCCAGGGCTGGCCGGTGTCGGAGTGGCGGGGGGGATGGGGTGGGCACTAGCCCCCTCCGTGGCCCCCTTCACTGTCCTTTCCCCTCCCTGTCATCAAAGAGGGTGGGGTTCTCGGCCAGCGAGGCCCGAACTTTCTTCTTCTCCTTGAAGCGGCCGGAGTTGGAGACTTTGACATGCTTGCCCTTGGTGCTCCTGTCCACGATCTTCTCCAGGCGGGCGCTGTAGTCGCTGGGCGGGGGGCCTCCCCCGCCCTCGGGCCGCGGGGGCTCAGCACCCCCCTCGGTCTGGGCATAGGAGTCTGGAATCTCATACAGCACCTTGGGGGTGGATTTCTTTTTCCGGAGGAACGTCAGCTTCCACCAGCCGACCTCGGTCATGGTGCGCACGGAGCCGGACTCTGCTGGGGCAGGGCGGGCGGAAGAAGGGCGTGTGTCAGTGGCCATGCAGGGCTGCAGGCTCCCACTCAGGGGCCACTCGAATAGCTGGGGCCCAGGACACTGGAGGATGGAGTCAGATGAACCCGGGAGCCAAGTCAGCGGCCGGAGGAACGGTTTTGGAGAGGATGCAAGACAAGGGCCGGGAGAGGAAAGTCAGCACAGACAGGGGAGCAGGGCAGGGGCTGCAGGGGGTCTCGAGTGACAGGGTGCTGCCACGCAGGCTGAAGGCAGCTTTCAGAGCACCTAATGCCGTCCTCAGAGCAGAGCAAACGGTTTGACCTCAAGAGGAGGAGCCCAGGTGCTGTCCTGGGTTACGTGCACTGTGGGCTGCTGAGGTCACCAGTTCGAATCCACTAGCACAGCAGGTTCTCAACCTGGGGGTCGAACGACCCTATCACAGGGGTCGCCTAAGACCATCGGAAAACACATAAATATTTCACAATATATAACGATATATTGTTTTGGAATGAATCACTATGCTTTAATTATGTTTATGTTCCAATTGTAACAATGAAGAGACTTCCTGCCTATCAGCTATTGACGTGACGATTCATAACAGTAGCAAAATGACAGTGAGGAAGCAGCAACGAAAATCATTTGAGGGTTGGGGGGGTCACCACCACATGAAAGGGTCGCGGCA